CAGTCTTGCCCTGGATCTAGGCTGTTCTCAGTGCAGGCCACCAGCTCCTAAGGACAAGCTCCACTCCTGGATCTTCTTTTGTGGTGGCATCAAGATCTCTTTCTCTGCTCACTTACCTCTCCTTTTGTCTCTTTTAAGATGAAATGGTGATTGGTGATTCAGGCCACCCCTTACATCACATTAGGGTTATAACTGAGTAAGAAAGCATGCTGCATCCCACCCTAATCCCCTTAACAACTGAGGGATCACATCAGAGCACATCATGGGGGCTATGATGATGCATCATTACATAGTTACCAATGAGAATCATGCCCCCATAAGCAGATGCATATTTTGGGGGTCTATAACTCAATCCCTGAAAGACCCCTAACACAGATAGCACAGGCAAACTCTATGCTCTTCCCAGCACACACTGTTCGGTAAACTTTAGAACGGCAACTGTGTTTAATTTTCAATCTTGCACAGCTGCTGCCTCTTTTTGAATAACAACGGCAGAGTCAGAGCTGGAACACAGGCCCTCAGATGATCTATAAAATGAAAGAGAATAACTATGTGCTAGTTTATTCTGGTACCCTAACTCCACACTTCCTTCAATGCCCCTCCCTTTATCATCACTTGAAAGTTCTGCAATGGAAAAATAATCAAAAAGTTGGATTCTGTTGAAATAAGCACCCCCAAATTGGGTGTTTATTCAGTTATGTTTTTGAAGGCCCTGACATTTTATTGCTTATCCAGAGTGAGATTTTTTTTTTTTTTTTCCTTTTTGACACCTGGCAATGTAGAAGCACGTGGGCAGGAACTAAAATGCTATGAGTTTGCACAAATGTGTAGAGAGACTGCAGCTTAAATCAGTGCCTATTTCAAGGGCAGGCTATAGGAAGTCATGCAGTCTTAGGAAGTCTTTTCAATAAAATACAAATTTCCGTTAGGGAAATGCCTAACTGCATATATGTTGTGGTCCCATAAGATTTGTTTTTAAAGGGAAAGCAGCTCTCCTTTTGTTTATTATGTCCCTAATGGTTTTTAAAACCCCAAATCCAGTTTTGTTTTGTTTTTAATTTTAATGCAGCATTGGCTCACGAGTGGGCTACAGACAGGTGAGGCAGATGACATGGCTCTGGGTATAGGCTCTGGGGTTTTGGCCGCAGACAGGCACTGGTGGCAGGCAGGAACTGCGGGCCCAGGCTGCTCCCGCTGCTCAGACAGGTGGAACAGCCGGTGGGGTTGGGTGCACTCTCCCTCCTTGCTCATTTCTTCTTGATCCGTTCCTGCCCTTGACCTCTCAGCCAACGCTACTGATGGCACCCATTCTTCTAGCGTCCTCCAGCAATTTCAGTAGTGGTGATGAGGACAACTGGAAGGAGATTCTCTTCAGGGTTTAATACAGAGCTCGTACCCTGTCCAAATCACATCACGTCCTAGTCTACGGAACATATTATGGACATCGAGTAGCGCAGTGCTAACATATCTGGGCTCACCCACTGAGGTTCACTTTGTCAGAATCTCTAGATGGGCTGAGGTTTAAAAGGTGACTGTTTTTCTGGAATTCATTTGTCCATCACTAATTAATCTATGATTAGTAGCCCTTTCTCGCTCAGCAAATACAAAATTTTAGAAATCTGAACATACTGATAATGAAGACAGTAACTGCCTAGATGTGAGGACTCCTTTGTGCTATCCATAAATGTCAGCAAACTCAATAAAAGTGCAATTAGAGCTCGTTATACTTCTTTCCTAACTACAGGAGCTATTTAGAGCATCAGAGTCAAAGAAATCTTTCTATTGTTCGAACTTTTAAACTATGCTTACCTGTCAAAAATGCCTTGTGAAATCAGAAAAAAAGTTCACAGCTTTTATCACTTGCTTTAGAAAATTATACATTTTTCCAGACTCCTCCATCAGGTCCAAAGAGAACCTTGAAACCTGTTCATGTCTATGCAAGATGAGATCCATTTAAGTCTCCATAAAAAAAAAAGCCCTTTAAAGGCTACTTTCAGTTCATTTACCCTGTTTGATTTTTAATACAGAAAATTCAGGAAGTGCAGGTCAATCTATAAGAGCAAAGGGAGAATTGACCCAACAAGGTTTGAGGTTTTCATTCATACGTACAGACTTCTGAGTGCATGTCCAAGTCTAGACAGGGTAGCCTCTGCTATACAGATTGCACTCCAGGGCTGCCTCAGTTGGGTGGAGCCAGATCATTATTTAATGATAACTTAACACATATTGAGTATTAATCATGTGCAAGTACTATGCTAAGCTTGTAACAGATACTAGTTTATGTAATCCTCAAACAACTTGGTAAAGTAAGCACTACAGAAAGAGCTGAGATGATGGACTATTCTAGACCCACGTTACAGCTAAGACATTGAGGTTCATGAGGTTAATTAAGTAACTTGTCCAAGGATGAGGAATCAAATCCAGGCTTCTCAAAATATCTTTTAACTGCTATCCTTTACTGCATCTTTAAATATGATGCTTCCAGGTACCTTCTCATCTGAGCATTTACAGTGTGCAATTCAGCTTGGCTTTTGAGATTAGGCAAAATCAGTTATATCCCTGGTAGTTTTACTCTGCTGCTGTGGTTCTAGGTCCAACCATTGCTCTCAGTGTCTATACTAATGTTTGGATCTAGAACATTACTCTGGACACTGAGAATAATGTGGACACTGGGCAGCAAGCATAATAAACCAATCTGAGATTTCATGTCAATCAGCCTATGACACATAATATCCCATAAGCCAGGGTTGATAGCTGCAAAGTAGAAAATACAAGAGTCCTTCATCCTTCAACTCTTTGGGTCTGTTAAGTCAAATGTTGTCATCTCAGTTTTCTAATTCCTCACATTTGTAAAACTATAACCTAAAGTTCCAATGTAAGGTATACCCTTTCCCACACACTTCTTCCATTCCATGGTTCTTATCTTGATACACTTTGAGGAATTATGGGGATTTCTTGTCCAAGCTCCAAGATGCCCTGCACTGCTCTGCTGTATTCCTCTGACATGTACAATATTCATCTATCTTCTCTCCCCTAAGGAACAGAACAGAGCCCAGTGTACCCCTCTGCAGCAAAAGGGTTTAAGAAATTAGGGTGAGAATAAGACATGCTCAGTGCAAAACCTATGAGATCAGGAACAAACCCAGGTGGTAAGAATAGTCCACAGTTTATAGAAGCGTCACAACCCAAACCAAAACGTCATCCTGTGTAATGCAGGTACAATTATTCCCATTTTATGAATGAGCTGATTACAGTGCAGTGTTTAAGTTCTTCTTGTTAAGTGCCGTCGAGTCAATTCCGATCCACAGCGGCCCTGTATAGGGTTTCCAAGGAGCAGCTGGTGAACTTGAACCACCGCCTTGCAGTTCAAATAACTTTGCACTCTGATGTCATTAGCGCACAGCGCCACACCAGGACTCCGTTTAAGTGGATATTAAACACTTAAATCAGTAGACTGGATGTAAGTTCAGTGAGGGCAGAGACAGAATCTTTTGTAGTATCCTCTGTTTCTTCTTCAAATTCATTGTTGCAGCCCCACCCCTAGCAGCATGCCCAGCACAATGTAATCAATGAAACGTTTTAAAATAAAGGAATGAAGTGACATGCTGCAAGGTCCCACAACAGAGCAGGGGCAGATTTCTTATACTTTAGACACTGAATTTCATGTGTGTGATAAAATTAGTACAGAACAAGAGAAAACAAACTCTAGGAAACTAGGAGGCTGATGACAAGATAAGGAGCCCTGATGGCTAGTGTTTTTAAGTATTGGACTAGTAATGGCAAGGTTGGGGGTTCAAATCCACCAGCTGCTCTGAGAGTGCAAGATGAGGCTGTCTGTTCCCATAAGGATTTACAGTCTTCGAGGGTCACTATGAATCAGAATCAACTCAATGGCAGTATGTGGGTTGTGGGTTTTTTGTTGTTGTTATTTTGGGGGCAGAGTTGGTGAGAAGATGATAGGGAAAGCCCAAAGTCTACTCTACCATATAGCAAGCTCCGACACATCAAGTGCTAACAGTACCTCAATGTGACTTGTCATTTCCTTCTAAACTTTCTAGTCTGTAGAGAAGCCAGAAAATAGGATACACTACAATTAGCCACCAAAAAAAAAGTACCTTGTGGAGAGATTCCGAGCCCAATCATAATTTACATTTGCAGATATGTAGATCTCTAAGTACATGGCTTCTGCCCTGATTACTAATTAATGAGGTGCAAAACCGCCTGTTGGAAGGAAACTGCTGATTATGTCAGTCTTGGGGGACAGAGCAGCTCTACAGTCTAGGAAGGGAAAAGATCCCTTTAACATACATTTCAGTAAATTAAAAGAACAAAACAGGGACAGGAGGTTTGTAGAAATGGGAGCAAAAACTAAAGAGCGAGAAATTTGGCTATCAACCCTCTCATGTCTTCAAGAGGCAAATTCCAATTATTCCACAGACCTCATCAAATGAATATTTTTGCACTGAGTGTACGTTTATTTAATCAGCAGGCTGAATTCTGAATGAATTCGGATGCAAATGCATTGGCACAATTTAGAGAAGAGTACAATAAGGCAGTCTTCACGCAAGAGAGGAACAAATAGAAAAGGAAACAGAGAGAAAAAGTATGTATAGACAGCTTAATTCTTAATGGGCCACTCCTTTCCCCAGCCACGTTCTCTACAGAATATAAGGTTATTCCTCCCTATCAGGTGTTCCTATGCTGCTCTGTAGGAGGAGATAGAAGCCAAATGCTACAGGGTCACTACACAGAGCAAGCCTCAAACAGAGGGACAAAGAAACTCTTCTTGTAATATCTTCACAGACCCTTACACCTGGGATCAATGAGGCAGGAGAACCAGTTTGCATTTCTCCACACATTGGAATTGCAGTGGAAGTTTCCTGGAGTTCTCAGTCTTGCACAGAGAAAGAGCAACTGGAGCTGGCTCCTCCCTCCCCCAGCTGACATTTAAAATCGGAAGACACACACATTATGACATGCGACATTTGGTCATCACCTACCGTTTGATTTTTCACTATCTGCAGGTTTCATCTGAATGGGATGATGCATCTATAAAAATACAAAAGTGAGAAAATAAAAGCAGGTTGAACAACTGTAAAGACAACCTCTAGAAATCACACTACAAAAGCGTGAACACTGATGATGTTATTGTTGTTGTTAAGCACCGTGGATGATGTCATAGGAGCATGTAAGTAAGAACAAGGCTTCCCCTAGTTAAAATGAACAACAATGAAATACAAGCCCGTGTTTCATCGTCAGTACTATAATCCTTTTAGGTCATGAGGCATACTGTAGCACATATTTAAAGGTGGAAGAGCACAGAGGGAGTAAAGTTACGAAAGCTGCATCACTGGGCCCGGGGACTCAGGACCATAGTTTTGGAGGACACCATGGTCAGCTAGCATAACATAATCCGCAAAGACAATGTTCTACATCCTGTGGGATCTTCAAAGCACACAAGTACCCATCCACTTTGTAAATATTAGGGCTTCCCTGTATGGAGGAAAAGACAGTGATGAAAACTGAAGATGCTTGGTAACAATTAGTCCAATGGATTAATGGGTCATGTGAACATCAGTCTCCATGATCCTGAGACCAGAACTAGACAGAACCCAGCTACTACTATCAACTGCCCTGAAAGAGATCACATTAGAAAGTCCTAGACCGAGTGGGTGAAAATGTGCAACAGAATTCAAAATCTTGATAGAGATCGGCCTTACTAGTCAGACAGAGACCAGTGGAACCCAGAGAGTATGACCCTTTGTCCCCCTTCAGGTGTGGAACTGAACTCAACCCTGTGAGCAAAATATCAGCCAAGCATTTCAGCAGGTCTATAGAGGGGGCAATAATATTAGTGAAGTACGCGCCCCATAGACAATTTCCCCAAAAATAAAAAGATCAGTCTTTGGATTCAGACTTGAGTTTGAAACCTGATTCTGCCCCTCAACACAGTTTCCAGCTCTATCTTATAGTTAATCCTTGGTCTGCCATTATGCACAGCTACATGACTTTGGGAGTCCTGGTGTGGAGCTGTGGGTTAATGCGCTGGAATGCAAAATCGGTTTGAACCACAAGGTAGGGAGGTTCAAGCTCACCAGCTGCTCCTTGGAAACCCTATACAGGGTCACTATGGGTCAGAATCGACTCAATGGCATTTAATACCAACAACAACATGATCTTGGGCAAGTATCTTAACTTCTCTGAGCTTCAGTTTCTTTGCCTGTGAAACAGCAGGGTCATGAGATAATGCATGTAAAGTACATAGCAAAGAAAGCATGGGAAATGCTAAGGAAAAGTTAGCTACTAGGACCATATTGGTTAGTTGGTTATGTGCCGTGGAGTTGATTCTGACTCATAGCAAACCTGTGTAGAATATCTGGGGCTGTATATCTTTATGGGAGCAGAAAGACTCATCTTTCTCCCAAGGAGCAGCTAGTAGATTTGAACTTCTGACCTTGCAGTTAGCAGCTCAGCTTATAATCCACTGCGCTACCAGAGCTCCTTTTCACTATGTTAGAGTATTACAAATTTAAATGCAGATTATTCTTGTTTCTCTTCTGGCCATCCCATGTGTCTGCTAGATGGATTTTTCTCAGACCTCAGAGTTATGTAACGAGCAATTTGAAGGCCTAATAGTTGATTGGCTCAGTTGTCAAAGCCACTGAAAGAATGGAGAGAGTGAAGTATGCAGGCAGGTTTGGAGCGCACAACACTATACACACAAGACTAGAAAGAGCTTGAAACACCAACCAATACCAAACCCTCTGTTGGGAAGTCCATCCCAATTCATAGCAATTCTATTACATCGAGTAGAACTGCCCCCACAGGCTTTCCCAGGCTGAAGCCTTTACAAAAGCAAACTGCAACATCTGTCTTCCCAGAGCAGCTGTTGGTTTTGCATTGCTGACCTTTCAGTTAGCAGCCACACATTTTTAACCATTGTGCCACCAGGGTTAAACCTAACACACACACATCCCACCACGTGGAAACAAAACAAAGCTCACTAACCGTCAAGAGAAGATTCCAACTCAGAGCAACCGAATAGGACAGAGTAGAACTGTTCCTTCGGGTTTGAGACACTGTACATCTTTCTCTGGGTGCAGACAGTTTCATCTTTGTCCTGCAGAGTGGCTGGTACATTTGAACTGCCAAATGGGTTAGGTGGTTGGCAGCCCAACACCTAAGCCATTTCACCACCAGGGCTCCTTACCTGAAAGCCAGTGTTGCCCAAATCCTGACTCATGGCAGAAATGGATCCTCTACGGTTGCTTATACAATGCTGATCACACCACTGTGCACAATTCACGGAGTTTACTCTAAGCACAGAATGTTATCACCGTTTCCAATTAAAATAAATTCGTCAAACTACTTTCAGAGGTCCTCTTGTCTCATATTTTATCATACCCCAAGGAGCAAAGAAGCCACAGTATGGATGGAATCACTGGCTGCAAAAATGCTTTTATTATAATGGTTCTTGGTCTGTCTGAACCTTAAATTTCCCCAGTGGACTTCCATCACTTGCAAGCCACAGCTTTGGGCTTTATCTAATTTACATGAAACGGGAATGGTACTTGGCTGTGGCACTTCAGTGATGGAAAATTATTGTCAGACAGTCAGGACCATGTGCACCTAACGTCTGCCAGGGTCTTCAAAACACTAGAGGTAGAGGAAAGAAGGAATATTGCCAGGGGATAAGAGGCTAAGTAATTCAGGGCTGCTTCATTTATTCTAAAAAGCAAGATGCTCTTATGCATTGAACATAGACCTGGAGGTATGAGGTCTACTGGCATTTCCATTTCATTCATTAATACATTCAATTTATAGAGGTGAGACTAGAATGAGAATGGAATGTTTAGGTGTCAGTAAGTAGCCCTGTCTTTCCAGAAAAAAGTAGACTATATACCTAACCTCAGGAAGAATTAAACCGAGCAAAGTACTCATCTTGGCTGAAGGAACGTGGTCTCTATCCTATAAGTAATGGTACAATGACCAAAGACAAAAAAAAATATGAGGAAGATGGACTGAGTCTTAGAGTGAAGTATCATTCATGCATGTATTTATCCACGCTCCCAGCAAATATTTATGAAGCACCTACTATGTGCCAAGATATAGGCTAAGAAGCAGTATACAAAGATAAAGTGAAGACAGTTGATCATCCCTGGGAAACTGACAGATATACAGCCGCTAAAGTCAATGGTAAGTGCTATGTAGAGACAGGAACAAAGTGTTATGGAGACCCTGTGAGGAGGCACTTTATTTTGTCTAGTGAGGAAATGAATACTTTTCAGCAAAGGTGATATCAGATACCAGTCTTAAAGGTTAAGCTACACTTGCTAGAAGAGGAAGCGGAGGAATTGCATTATAAAAAATGGAATATTCCATGCAAGGATACACTGGTGAGAAAGAATATTGCTCTTCCTAGGAAGAGTACAAGACATGTGGAGGAAAGCCATAAGATGGAGAAAAGCAAAAGTGGCCAGTACCCAAGTTTCAGAGACTTGTGTGCTAAGGAACTGAAATTTTATTGAATAGTCAAGTGACAGAAATAAAAGATCTTTACTAGCAAAGGCAACAAGATCAAATTTGCTTCCTAGAAAATCATTTTTGGCTAATGTGTGGAGGATGGATGATAGAAAGGAGGCAGGAAGAACAGCTAGGCTACTGCAAACAACAGTCCAGGCGAAACTGATGGGGGGCTAAATCGAGCAGTAACTGGCTGGCTATGGGGGCCAGGGAGAAGAAGAGCTCCAGGAGAAAGTGGCGTTGCAGGGAGGATAATGAGTTCAGGTCTGCACATGCTAAACTGGATGTGGCTGTGTGATGTGGAGAGAATTTGGAAATATGGGTTTGAAACTCTTGGGAGGGGTCAGGCCTATAGAGGCTGCTTTAGACTCTGGTGGTAAAAGTCAGAGGCATGGAGGAACTTGTCGAGGTTAGGAAACATGAAAAGAACAAAGAGCTAAGGACAGATCATGGAGAATTATCAAGAGAGAGGAGCCTCAGAAGGAGAGCGCACAGGACAGTCAGACCCACATCTGGTAGAAGCAGGAGCAAATGAAGATATAAGATAAACCAAACCAAACCAAGCCAAACCCAATGCTGTCAAGTCAATTCCAGCTCATACTGACCATGTAGGACAGGGTAGAACTACTCCTTACGGTTTCCCAAATTGCACATCTTTATGGGAACAAACAGCCTCATCTTTCTCCTGTAGAGTGGCTGGTGGGTTTGCACCACAAACCTTGCAGTTAACCGACCAGTTCTTAACCCACAGTCCCACCAGGGCTCCTGGAGATTTAAGAGATGCAATAATTGCACCTACATCATGTGTAGGACATGAAGATGAAATAAAACTGCTCTCAAGGAGCTTACAGGACATCATGGTGACAAATGTCATAAAAGGAGCAGAGACAGAGTGTTATGAGAGTTCAGATTAGTCTGTGAATGAAGTACATGGAGGATTGAAGAGGAAATCTGGAAGCTGCCAGGACAAAATCACACTGCGAGAAAACTGCAAAGGGACTTGAAAATCATTAAGTCTGATGCTCTCAATTTATAGGTGGAAGAGGGATCAACAACTTTACTGAGGATACCCAGCTGGCTCATGACCTTGGGATCTGAAATCGAATCTCCTTAATCCTAATCCAGTGCTGATTCTTTTGTGCCACACTGCTTTTCCACAAAATGCCCCACAGGAGAATTGGGCACATGAGCCAACAATGAAGAGCTAAAGGCTTTACTCAATGGCGGAGCCAGAACACTTGTAGAGGTGCCTGAAATATTCCCTAAGGTGAAAGATCTCTTTCCTGTCTCAACTCCCTAACACTTTACCTATGCAGTGTTTTACAGTAAGACTTGACTCTTGGTCTAGGAATATTATAGTGGTAGTAATGAAACAGCTACCAATACGACAGAATGAACTTTGTTTTGGTCTCTTCTGGGCCTGGAGTGGCAGGAAACCAATTTCACTGAGACCTGGATTGTCAGACCTTGGCGAATTCTGAATGGGTGGTCATTCTACTTCAGGCATGTTCTGAAGACATTCTAGA